CTAAGACTGCGATACTATTATACTATAATGTTTCCCTAAACCTATGCTGTAATAAACGACACCTCAACTTAAATTGTTGTCACAGCCTCCAAAGGTTCTGTATCTATTCTAAAACGTGTGCGTATACTATGAGCTGCGCCAAGTGCCGTACACGAACATATGTGCGTGTACGACAAACAACTCAACACCTGTTCAGCAACTCAGCTATCAGCCCTGGCCCCTGTACAAAAACCTGGCGTGCAGCCTGACATGGCCACATACCTGCTGCAGCCCACTGCCCAACACCATCCCTGGCTGCTGCAGCTGCATGAAAAACAAGAGGCGCCCCGAGGCCACTGCCATGTTTAGCTGAATCCAAATGGAAGCATCCTTGCTTGCCATGGAGAGGCTGGCAGACTCATGTGTTTTCTACAAGCCCCCACAAGAAGAGTTTGGGGCTACTGAAACTGTAGCAGTCGCTCACCTGGGCGGACTACTGGCTTTGCGGAAGCGTGGAATTTAGAGTCCTCGCTGAGGCAGGGAGAAGTCCAACCCAGCAACAAGCACTAGCATACATAGACCCGTACGAAACAATCCGAGACAGCGGCAGCGGAGTCTTGAACTCTGAACACCAAGTAGTCATGATACTTAAGTGCCTCACCATGGCACCCCACCCAGGTAGCTTACATCTCGGCCTACCTGCCGGAGATTCCCTACTACGTTCCTGCCGTGCTAGGATACTGTCGGTGTATCCTCCGGTGGCAGGTTGGTACAGGAGGGTATCCTCTGGTGGCAAGGTGGTACAGGAGGGTACCCTCCGGTGGCAAGGTGGTACAGGAGGGTATCCTCCGATGGCAGGGTGGTACAGGAGGGTACCCTCCGGTGGCAAGGTGGTACAGGAGGGTACCCTCCGATGGCAGGGTGGTACAGCAGGGTACCCTCCGGCGGCAAGGTGGTACAGGAGGGTACCCTCCGGTGGCAAGGTGGTACAGGAGGGTACCCTCCGGTGGCAGGGTGGTACAGAAGGGTACCCTCCGGTGGCAGGGTGGTACAGGAGGGTACCCTCCGGTGGCAGGGTGGTACAGGAGGGTATCCTCCGGTGGCAGGGTGGTACAGGAGGGTATCATCCAGTGGCAAGGTGGTACAGGAGGGTACTCTCCAGTGGCAAGGTGGTACAGGAGGGTACCCTCCGGTGGCAAGGTGGTACAGGAGGGTACCCTCCGGTGGCAGGGTGGTACAGGAGGGTACCCTCCGGTGGCAAGGTGGTACAGGAGGGTGTCCTCCGGTGGCAGGGTGGTACAGGAGGGTACCCTCCGGTGGCAAGGTGGTTCAGGAGTAGGGTTGGAAGTCATCTAAGACTAAACTTCTTAACTTTTATGAGAACCTTTAGAAACTAAACCTAGCTAATATCTATAGATATTAGATGGCCTTTTTTGGCGCCTTAGATGTACGGCAGCTCCGAAACCTTAGCAGAGACCTTAGGTGGTCCTGAGAAACTTTAGGTGAAGCTGTCTGAGGACTCATCGAATAGTTACTGAGTAACATTCCCAATGGCTGACGTCGGTGAAGCCTCTGGCAAGCCGCCGAAGGGCAAGCACGAGTCCAGCAAGGATACTTACACCTACAATGGCAAGGAGTACTCGGCCAAGGAATTTTACGAGAAGCTGAAAGACAGCAAGCGAAATAGCCATGCTTCCTGGTGGGCTTTCTTCAACGTTGTGCTGGTAAACAACGCAGTGAAGCTGGCCTGCACGTTTTGCCCCACCCTGCGCACTCAGGCCTCACAGTTCTCGGGTCTGCGGTGTGTGACGGTGTTGTTAGCTTGTCAGGGCTTGGTCCGCTAAAATGTTAGACGTGGTCCGTGTTGTTTGCTACGCTTCCAGGTGTTTCATGCACTGGCTTTTCAGCACGCGTATGCAGTTTCGCGGGGGAAGGTATACCTTCCCCGGGGGAAGGTATACCTGCCCATTACGTAATGGGCAGCGGGGTACACCGACTGGCATGTGGTGCCTGGTATCATGGTGTGCAGTTCGGCAGTTTGCCAATCGCTGTGTTCTTGGAGCGTTTAGGGGCTGCTACTGCTGA